CCCATTTATCCTCAGTTGCTAGAACAACATAACCATTTGCCTAAATCCCCTCTTCCACGGACACACTCCGTTCTTGCTTTCTGCTCAGAAGATTTGCTTTTACAATGCCCTCCATCATCATGATTTGGCTACAGTTTGCATATGTCCATCTTGCCAGACATGACTGGGGTTCTCCGGATGTGGCAGGACCAAGGCAACATGAATAAATCATTTCTTCTCTTAATCTGCCCTCTCCACTTCTGAAGGTTGTGTTTCAATTTTTTGCAATCACGTCATACCCTCGACTCTCATTCAGCATGGAATCAACTAACACAGAGACATTTAAGCTCAACTCAAGGAGGCAGAAAGGAGGGAGAGAGGGAAATGGGAATGTTTCCTTCCTGCCTCTCTTCTTTTTCTGCACCTCAGTGCCCCCTTAGAGACTAGTTCTCTGTCTGATAACTGTGTCAGCAGCTGATTGGGTAATGGTGCTGGAAATAGCATGTTAGATCAAAGGTTCTACAGTTCCTGGAGAAGTGGCATCTGGGTCCAGCCCCTGAGTCCTCCACAAGCCATTCCTGTCTCTGTCTCACCTGCTGATACAGTGATAAATTAGCGTGTGGTGTCCCTCCTTCACTCTTGCTTCCTGTCCCAGGGGGCTGAGTCCTGTCTCTGATGAGGAAGATTTCATTTCCGGTATTTGAGAAAAGTGGTCACTCTGACTGACGATTTCCCCTCCAGGGAGAGCTTGAAGCATGCCTGGCCTTTGATTTATGGATCTCGACTGCCTGCAATTTATTACCTGGCACTTTCACCTTCCTCTCACTCCCTCTCCTTCTCTGCAGCCTTTGAGCACCTCTAGCCCTTCTCTCTATGGCTTCACCTTCTGAATTCTTCTGTCTGTTGTTTACATGCAATCATTGGCTTAGTGCCTATTATGTACAAAGTCCTGTGTTGGATGCCTATGACAGTCATTTCATTTTAGCCTAAAAGCAGACCTACAAAATAAATATCCCTATTAACATTTTACAAATAAGGAGACTGAGGCTCAGAGAGGTTCACCTACAAAAGAAGTATCTCTATTACTATTTTGTAAATGAGGAAACTGAAACTTAGGGAGGTGACTTGCCCTAATGGGCTCTAAAGCCTATGTCCTTTCTACTATAATATGCCACTTTGAATCATGGCTAACATTTACTTAAAGTTAATCAAATTACTCACATTGTCTCATCCTCCCGACAACACAGTTATTATTGCCATTTTACTGATGGGTTAACTGAGAGTTAAAGACATTGAAGAACTTGCTCATGATCCACACAGCTGTAAAGTTATAAAGCTAGGGCTTGAATCTGGGACTCCAGAACCAAATATTCATCTCAACTCTATGCAATGAGAAACAATTTGTTCTAGCTTTACCCTTGTTACAAACTGAAGATGTTCCTTTAAGGCAAGTCATTTTCTCACTCCAAACCCCAGTCCTCCCATTCATACAAAAGAAAGCTTTGTCCAGTTGAGTTGCAAGGTTCTCTCTCAGGAAATGGCTGGGTATTTGGAGACAAAGCATTTAGGAATGTTGGAAGACTTGCCCTTTTCAAGTTTTTATTTATTGCTTATTTTTGTGACTGTCTGGATCAGGCAATGATTCTCCGTTGCCCAAAGAATAAAATCCGAATACTTTTGCATGACTTAAATGAGCCTGGATGGTCTGATCTCTGCCAAGCTCCCTGGTTTCCCACCCATTCTTTGCACTGGCTATTTGGAACAACTGGTGGTTTATTCTATCTCCAGTTTAACATGGGATGGGCTATTTCCTCTGTCTTCTCATCCACCTGAAAATTTTATTTCATCATTGAAAACCTAGCTCAGCTGTTACACCATCTGGGAAGACTTCTCTGAGCTCCCAAACCGATGATTAGGTGCCCATCTTATATACTTCCACAGCAACTTGCATGTTCCCCAGTCCAGCACTCTGCCCCTGAATCGGAGGCTGATATTTATTCTGTCTGCCTGTCTCCTGACTTATAAAGACACTCAAGGCTTAAAACAGTTCATGTCCGATTTAAGGATCTTAATCTAAACCAGTACATATCTGTACAGTGCCTGGTACACAAAGGATACTTCAACATGATGATGATAATGATGTGATGGTGATGATATTTCCTAACATGCATGAGGTCCTAGTATATGCCAAACACTTTTCCAAGAGTTTTATATGTCTTGTGTTCACTCATTTAACCCTCAATATAATCCTATGAGGTAAGCGATATGTTTTTCCCTTTTTCACAGTTGAGAAAACAGAGAGAATAAATAGCTTTTGACCAATACAGAGAGAAAAATCAAACCTACCCCCCTAAGGACAATGATGGGCAACAGTTAATACCTGGATGTGCCCTCTGCCTGACTTCTTGCTGCCAGTTTTACCCTCTAGCCACTCAGTTCTCCTCAAGGAAGTCAAATATTTTTAAACAGTCCAGCTCCAAAACTGTCCCTTTGTTTCTTTAAACCTGTCAATAACTCCCGCACTTAATGCTTGAGACGATAATCATAGATTATATTTATGGTGGGCTTATTGTAGATTTATTATTCCTTTTTTATTTTTAAAACAACACTTTGTAGTAGATATTTATTATTTTCACTTTGTGGGCAAGGTAAGGAAACTGAGGCACACATGGCGAAGCAATTGGCTCAATCTTACACAGCTGAGAAGTGGCTGAGCTGGAATTGGAACTGTGTAGTCAGTGCTTTAGGGCCTGTAGCATCACCCTTATTTCATACAAGCAATGCCCCAGTTTCTAGGCTCCAGAGGCCTGGCTCCTGCCCACTTCTGCAGTTTTCCACTGTGTCCCCACTTGTGTGCATTGTGCTGCAGCCATAAGTTCTCAGAACTTCTATGCAATCTCTTATCTCTATGCCATTACCTGTGCCACCTGTTGAGACTCGGGTCTCCTCTTTATCTGACTCCTATTCAATTGTGAGACCACACAGGAGTTATCCTTCCACTAGGAAGCCTTCCTGGACATCCCCAACCCTATTTCTGCACCTTCCTCTGTCTTCTCACAGCTCCCGTGACCTCTTTTACCACTGCTCTAGTCACCTGTATGGTCCTCTCCATGTGTCCATTTCTCCCGCTGAATCAGAAGCTCCACCACATAATAGATGCTCAATAAATGAACAATGAATGACTTTATCTCTTTTGACTTCGCAACAGCCCCACTTTTCAGATGAAGAAACAGGTTTCTAGATGTGGAGCAAATTCCCCAAGGTCACAGCTATTATAGAACAGAGCAAGAATTCAAATGAGGAGAGGTGGGGGGTGAACTCCTCAGGCTTCTCTTGGGGGTGGGGCAGGTACTTGCCCAAGAGGAGAGAGAACTGTGGATAGAGTGTGATTATGAAGTGATGAATTCTTGGCACCTCAGGAAAT